AAAAAGGTGTTAAAGGTTATCAGTAGCACCTTGAATTGGACACAGAAACAAAAATGGACATCAGAGCAAAGATCTTAATATTGGAACAATATGGGTGGTTAGCTTAACTCTCATCAGTAAGCTGACTACTATGTTCTGCACTCGTAATTTCCAAATTTGTCTTCAGGCTAGTCCATGTAGAGTAAGTTACAGTATTCAGTCCTCAAATTTACTAAAGCATGGCTCAGTACGGCTGGATCAGCTGAGTCATGAAAAGATGCACTCTTGGCTACTATATTTCACCAGTTTTTCAAACAAAAAGGTAGGATCCAAAAGGACTCTTAACAGAATCTGCCAAAGAAAGCCTCATCTCTAGCTGGCAGTGCAACACCATCTCGAACATCAACCTTACCTCCACCTTACCTGGATTCAGTTTCAGTGTGTTCTCCCTCAACCACTTGACCAAGGCATCCAGGGGCTGATTCAGAACAGAGACTGCCACATCTGGAGGCTTATTCAAAGAGATATACAATTGCGTATCAGTAGCATATTGACGACACCCAATCCTAAAGCTATAGACAGCTGAAGCTCTCTCATTTATAAATGAATCCTGGGCAACATATCCCAAGTTAAATTCAGCATGTGGAATCTTCCTTGTCTGTCATTACATTTTGGATAATGTTGAAATAGAAACAATCTGAACCATTTCAGAGATGTGCTTGCAATCCCTGCTATTGCTTCCAAAGGATGCAACAATAAAGTGTGATTGGCCATACTAAAGAAACAGCGAGATCAGTATTTCCAAGCAGGCATTCCCCCTTATCTATTTGTAGGTGCAGATTGTTTACCAGCGCTAGTAGGATAGTCTGTGCCCTAAAACCAGGCCTGAAGCCAGACTGAAAAGTGCCAAAGGTAAATGTGTCATCTAGGAGCTCCTCCAGTCGCTGTACTACCATCTGCTCAATAATTTCCCCACAATATGTTAGAAACAGGCGGTTAGTTAAAAATCTGGCCCTGTTTCTCTAGAGCACTTTCCCCCAAAAACAAGTTAAAAATCTGGCCCTGTTTCTCTAGAGCCCTTTCCCCCCAAAGAGACAAATAAGATGCAGTGAAGTTATAGGAACTACAGGGATAATGGGCTAAACTGTTGCTGCCATTGCTGTGTGCCATTACATTGTGTCAGAAGCAATGCTAGCTGTCATTTTAATCTCTGTGTACCAGATCCTGATGGTTTAAAAGGTACATTGTACAGTTTGATACTACTACTACTTTTATTATTTTGCAGTTCCCAACACTGAAGGCACAGCTTCAAAGAATAATTGCCACAACATCATCCCTTATGCATTCATTATGTTGTCGTCCACACATAAGAGTAGCAATAGGCATTATAAAATCCAGAATGGTGCTGCCCGTACTCGCTTACCTCTTTGAACAGGGAAAGGAGAAGAAAAATCTGTGGAAAGGACTTGGTTAACACTTTGTTTCATTAAAGATCCCCAGTTCTTTAATCCAGTTTTGTGTGTACCTTTGGCATTTTAGAATCTTATTTCAGAAAAGCCTTGTAACCCAGTGCTAAAGCATGTGCTTTGCACGTAGAATGTCAAGTTACAGAGCTGGGAAATATTTCTTTCTGAAACCAGGGAGAATCAATATGGAGTTTGAGGGACCAGTGGTCTAAATCAGTATATTGTAAGTTCATAATAAATCAGTCCATTTTTAATTTGTATATACAGTATGCCTACTTTAATGTTTAATATATCTGGTGCTTCCTCGATGACTACCATTAACTACCTATACTAGGCACCTCTGTAGGTCCTCTTCCATCTGCTCACAGGATGGAGAAGGAAAAGGACCTCATCTTTTATAGTCTAGGGGATCACCTGTCTTTTTCTTTCCAGGCGGTGTATTTATCTCAGCCCCGGATTTGTTTTGGCAACATTCCAGTTTACAGCAAATGCAGCCGCCTCTTCTTTCTCAACAACACTTCTGAGAAGGAGGCAATAGTTTTTACTTGGTACATTGGGACTTCAAATGCCACAGTGGTGAGCTCCATCTGTCTGATTGCTTTTCTTCATCTTGGCACTCTCCCTGCTCTTCTGTTTCATTTCAGCTTTCTTTAGAACTTAGTTTGGTTGTATCAGATCAGTTGCCCATCTTACTACAACCTGTTTTGGATTTGACATTTGAACCAATGGGATGTATGCACATTAAAGGCAGAAGTGTGGCACTCATTACAGTGACATGTTTTGCTACTCCAGAGCTGTATTAATTGTGCATATTCTGCAGGAGTACATCTTCCACTCTGATGTTGCAGTGTTTAGATTCTTAACCACATGCCTTCTATTTGCAAGTTATGAGGTATGGCACTTGCTTTCAGAATAGGAAGTAACAGCTATTACAGTGTTTGGTAGGCATGCATTGTTATATGCAATGCAGTCACCTCTTGCTTTATTTTTAGGTGTTGAACATTGTTCCAGAGACTGGAATTGTTCCAGCTGGAGAGAGCACTCATTGTGTTCTCACACTACACACGAGCGAAAACCCTTGCTTCTACGATGTTGATCTGATCTGTGAGGTGAGGCTAAGTAGGTTCTTTCTCTTAATGTCTAAACCCAGTGGCATTGGTAACTTGCAGTAACTAAAAAAGATTTCAGTGTCTAACATAGAGGCTACAGTTCAAAGGGATGGGCCATCTACGTGGCTTAAAAATGACTGAGCTTTTTTACATTTGAGGAGTTGTTGTTGCTTAATTCTTCAACATGCCAGTGTCAATGGTGAAAAGTGCTGTCAAGTCTCAGCCAACATCTGGCAACACCACAGGGTTCTCAAGGCAAGAGACATTCAGAGACGGGTTGCCATTGTCTGCCTCTGCATACAGACCCTGGACTTCATTGGTGGTCTCCCATCCAAATACTAATCTGGGCTAACCCTGCTTCCAAGATATGACAAGTTCAGGCCAAGGCTGGTCAGGGCAATAGTATAGTTCGAGTCAGGCAACATAAACTTTGCAAAGGACAGAGCTGCATAGAGGGTGTTCCCTAACAAAAAAGTTGAAGTTTTACAAGCTATTTCACATTGTATGTACCAAATAAGATGCTGTTTGCATAGAGGGTGTTCCCTAACAAAAAAGGTGAAGTTTTACAAACTATTTTACATTGTATGTACAAAATAAGATGCTGTTGTATATGTATGGCTCCATTTTTCTCCTCCTTCTCTTTGTAATTTTTTGGGCCACGATAGTTGGGGCTTGTCCTTGGTAAAAAAAAAAAAAAAACCCTCTCCTTTCTGCTGTGGTTGCATTTCTTCTTGATTAAATAAGGTTTTATTTTCCAGCAATTATTTTTCAAAGTTGAGACATTAATATAGAGAGCTTTGCCAAAATTTCAGACTCAGATTGCACCTGATGTTTACAAACAGACAGAGCTTCAGACCACTGAAGAAGAAAAGTAGTAGGCATACCAAGCTGAGCCATGGTGAGCTAACTGTAGAGTTTTGCCATGTAGATTTTCACACAGCAACCACTGGATCAGTATGAAAAAGAGCTGAAAGCATGGGAAACTGAGAAGGCACGGCAGGCTGTGGAGTTCACCATCACAGAAAAGGATCTGCACATAAAGAAGAATGTAAAAGAACTTATGAGGGTAAGGACAAGCCTGTTAGGGAGGGAGAGGGCAGGAGCAGTAAAGGTTTGTTTGGATGAAGTTTCTGATCTCAGGGCTGCTTCCAGCATTACTGCCTTTGTCTGGGCTTTTCGAACATATGTCGGAAAGTAGCCAAAATGAGTGAAGGTGTGCCTCCTTGGAATGCTAAGAAATGACTGTGAAGGGTACTTTTTGGAATGCTCCTATGGCCTTTTCCGTAGTTCTGACACTTGGCATTACAAGCACATTTTCTGGCTGCTTTTCCACATGGAGTTCAAATCCCTTGAACAGTTGATTTTTCTGCAGTGGTAACTGAAGGCACATTAGCATCCATGGTGAAAATATAAATGGCCACTGATTATAATGGAAAGCTTTCCTGTACAAACAGCACTGAAATAAATGGGATCTATAAGACCCATTAATCTCAGTGTTGCTTTTGAAAGACAACTTCATAGTGAACTGTTCCTCCTCCTAGAGGAGTTGTGGCTCAATGGATGAGCTTCTGCTTTGCATGCCGAAGGTCCCAGGTTCAATCCCTGGCATCTCCAGTTAAAAATACCGGGCAATAGGTGATGTGAAACACCTTTGCCTGAGACCCAGGCAGCTAGGTGATGTGAAACACCTTTGCCTGAGACAGTATTCAGTACTGACACTAATGGACCAATGGTCTGATTCAGTAAAAGGAAGCTTCATGTGTGTGACACATAGCTCAGATTTGTAAGCCTAGCCCAGCACCCTTCCAAAATCTGCCACCTGAAGTTGCCATCTCACTGTGTTCATGATAGGGCCACCTCTAGTATGTAGGGAAGTATTAAGAAGGGTTGGGGAGAAGACAAAGAAAGCTATGCCATAGGAGCATATGGATGGCCTCTGTGTGGGATCTTTCCCTTGTTGGCAATTCATGTTAGCTACATATCAGACCTGAAAATTTCTTCCTCTGATATTTGATGTTTAAAACCATTGCTGCATCGTTGAAAAGCACTTTTCCCTTTACACATTGCAGTCTTACACATGGTGATCAGCATCTTGAAAATGGAGTAGAGCAAAATTGGGGAATGTTTAAAAAATAAAAATGTTTGTATTTCTTCTATAACTGGAAACACTTGAATGGTTTGACAGGTTTCATGGTTAGTACAGAATTTTAGGTGGTTTTCTTCAGTAGTCACAGATGCTGAAGGCCATTTCGTGAGTTAAGACAAAACTGCTCGTTGCAGTCAATCGTGGTTCCCTGACTAGGATACTTATGGGACGCATGTTTGCAAATGTATGTTTATTGCATTTACACTTTACGTTCTTTAAGGTATACACTTAATATATCACAATGCAAACCTAAAATGTAGTATATGGAGGGATTCTATAGAATGAAGAGTGAACTACTGCCAAGAGCCAAGATAGTAGCTAAAGCCTTTCCCTGCAGGCTATTTCCCCTATTTAAAATGGATATAATACCATCAGAATCTCACTGGGGGAACAGCAATAGGGAAGGAGGTGTTATTGAATAGCAAAATGGACGACAGGGCAAAGGTAAAGCACCCTTTTACCTGATTGCAGCTCCGAAATGCAGCCTCCCAGGGCTATGCTGACCCAGAACGTCAAAACTTGGTTGCATGTAATCTGTCTAACGCTTTATCATTGTTTACTTTCTTCTGTATCTTTTGTTGCCATTAATGGGGGTCATGTGAAGGGGGGGGGTAAGAAGCAGCCAGGCTCCCTTCAGTTGTGCCTGAATTTAGCTAAGCTGAGAGCACTTCTCTGGCTGTTCTGCAATTACCATTAATAAAGCTATCAGAGGTACAGCAGGAAACAGCCGGGATGGTTCCCTTCCATCATGAGAATCCCTTTGTCACAAAATGTTTGTATTGAATGTTAAAGTTAATTGCATTTTTTCCATTCCTGTGAGCCACCTTGAGAGCAGAAAACAGATTAAAATGTTTATTTGCAAACTTTTATTTAGAGTTCTTCAAAATCCGTGGAGTCAGCAAAACCCTCCATGCCACTTAGAGAGATCCAGAAATACAAGGTAACCACTGAAATACACTTATAGAACAAGATGATTGATAGGGCACTGTGACGGACAGTAAATAGTTAAGGTTTTAACCTTGTCTGAGAACCTTGAGTGGTCTGAGAACCTTGAGTGACAGGGGATTCAAATGGAATCCTTCAGTTGAGAGTGGCAGTTAGGAGTTGAGGGTTGACAACAGTGAGAGAGTGAAGCAGACTGGGAGAGGATCAAGAAGGATCCTGAGTTAGGGAAGTGGGAAACTTAGCCCATTCTTAACAAGTCTGAGGGAAAGAGTTCCTAGAAGATGGGTAGCCGGCCTCATTTCATGCCGAAGCAGGCCGGAGTGACGCTCCAGCAGTAAATAGCCACCACCCCCAGGTCACCTGCTGCTCATCCGGTGTAGCTCTAGGCTTTATCTGTGTATGTTGTTGTAATCTACTTGCATACAAGTGAGCAACGATAGCATGGTTTGGTTTTCAATCTGTGCGTTTAAACTCTAGAGAGAAGGGGTTTAAACTTTAAAACCCTTCTCTCTTCGCTTCTGCTGCTAGCCCGCCTTGGCAGGCCTGCTGAGGAAGGGAAGGGGACTAGGTAGGCTTTTGAAGATGTCTCTCCCCCCTTTTTGCTTCCCCAGCTGGTCTCCTTCTCTCAGGGCCACAGAAGAATCTTGTCCCACGCTCCGCTCCATCCAAGGCGGGAGAGGCCTCCTCTCCTTGCCTCGCCTGGGCTGGGCTCGCCAGGGTGGCACTGCTGTGAGGGGTGTGTGTTTAGGCAGGCTGTCTGCAGCTGGCTACCTCTTGCCTGGATAAGATGGTGCTGCCTGGCCGCCTGCTCCCCGCACCTTCTTTTCTGCCTCTCCCTGTCTCTCTTGCTTGCGCTCCTTCATGGCATTCCGGTGCGCCGTGGCAGTGACAGCCTGTGGGCTGGCAGGTGGCTCTGTCCTCCTTTCTTCTGTAGCCATTGGGAAGCAGCAACTGGACAGCAAGGCCGGCGGGGATGCGCCCGAACCCGTCTCGGTGCCTCCTCCTGCCGTCGCCATTTCTCTGCCGGGCTTGCAGCTTCTGCCTTTGCCAGCTGCTTCTTGCCCCGCCGCTGTGGGCTGGCTCAAGAGGAGCAGCAACGGCTGCAGCTACTGGGACAAGAACTGGGAGAGGTAGGGATGGAACGCGGAAGGAAAGGGGGCTTTGTCTGGAAGAGCTAGTTCACACGTGCCACTGAGATCTGCGTGTTAACCTGCTGTCCGTGAGTGCACGTGAAGATGCGGGAGGCTTTAAATGCACAAATAGAATAAGGTTTCTGAAGTATGGGAGGGGAGGGGAGGTGGTGGTGGTATTGGAGTTCATTGCCCATGTCTTAGGTAGTGGTATGTGAAGATTCAGAACATGTGCATTAAAATGGGTGATGGATTTACAGGCATGTATACACGTGTTTGAGGCAAAGCGGAAGCAGCTTTAGATGAGGTGTGGGACAAACAGACCACGTGCATTGAAGATTTCTTATTAGATTTCTGTTGTGTTGGTATGACTTTCAGCCGTGGATGGATCTGTTATTCACAAAAGTGTGTAAACCCTTTCAAAATTGCCTTTCCAGGGCCTGAGCACCGTATGTCCATTCTAAAGGGCAGGCAAACTGAAGTGTGTCTGTAACCTAGCCTACCTGGCTATTAGTTGCTTCGGTACCAGTGTAGCTTTAAATACACTAGTACTTGAGACTTGAAATGATTGGTGGCTAGGTGAAAAGGAGCCTTACAAGTGTTGCCTTCTGACACATTTTGGGTGATGTTGGGGTGTGGCATATGCAAATAAGTTATGCTAATGAGTTATGCTAGAGAGAGCTCCTGCACCTCTTTTTCTATGAAATGACTCCTGCGGATAGCAATATCCAAGTTGGGTAGTAGTATCCAAGGTGGTATGGTCTTGCCCTGGTTGGCATGGATGGTACATTTTGGTGCAGACATAACTAACAACAGAAGTTCTTAGTTTTCTGCTTGGTGGGTGATCCCAGTTTACCCTCATGTTCATATTACAATTAACAGAGTTAGAGGTTAATATGCTGAACTGCAGATCGGAAGGTCGGTAGTTCGGCAGTTCGAGACCCGAGTGCCACATGATGGAGTGAGCTCCCATCTCTGGCCCCAGCTCCTGCTAACCTAGCAGTTCGAAAGCAGGAAATTGCAAGTAGATAAATAGGTACCGCTTTGGTGGGAAGGTAACAGTGTTCTGTGTGCCTCAGCATTTAGTCATGCCGGCCACGTGACCACGGAAACATCTTTGGACAGCGCTGGCTCTTCAGCTTGGAAATGGAGATGAGCACCGCATCCCTAGAGTCAGATTCGACTAGCTTTCGAGCAAGGGAAACCTTTGCCTTTACACAAACTAGAGTGTTGGACTAGGGACTGGGAGACCAGGGTTCAAACTCCACACTACCATGAAGCTCACTTGGGTGACCCTGGGGCCAGTAGCACTCTCTCACCCTAACCAACTCTAAAGGCTTGATGTGAAGATGAAATGGAAAACAAAAACCATGCCTGTTGCCTGAGCTCTTTGAACAAGGGGCTGATAAACAATACTAGATAGATCAACAGATCTTTTTGCCTCTATTTTGAATGCTTTAGTTGCTGGGTTTTCCTCTCCCCACATGCTTCTGTTTGGCTGGCCACCTTTGAACATTCCTGCATTTTTTAAAAGAAGTTAATTGAACTTTCTTTTTGTTTAAACCCATTTTATAAGTTGCAAAACGGCTGTAGGGAGAGTGATGGGACATAGTGTGACAGCTACCATGAGACCAGCCCTGTGCATCCCTGGCTTCTGTTTCCAACTGACCATTTTCCCCTATAAGTTTGACTCTTTTGGAGCTCAGTGACTTCTGTTGTTAGAGATATCTGAAGGCATTTGTTAGTCACACTCTTTGGTGAGTCTACTATGAGTCACGCTGATAAATGTGGGGAAAGCTCATGTCCTTGGTCTAGCCAAGTACTTTTTGTGTCCTGGAGAGTTTTGTTAAGCCCTGGGAATGGTATGTTTTGCGTTCTGTATTATTTATTTATCTTTAAAGGCTCAGAGTGGAATGTAGGGGTAGGGTTGGTAATTTTTATTCTAAAAGAATCAACAGCCTAATGCATGAGGAAATTAAAGGAAATACAGAATATCATATAAAATAAAAAGAAACTCATCCCACTCTTTGCATACTCTATCTCTGTTCTCCCCTTTTCTCAAGATTCCTGCATTCAGGATTGTTCTATTGGTTAGTTTCAGAGGAACTACTGAATAAAGAATGCCTTTCAATTTCTTCCCAACAGACTCTTCCCCCCATTAAAAACAGCAATGCACCTAACCCTCCTGCCAGCCGTAGCCAGAGGAGGCAAACAGAGGCCAGAAAATTGTGGGCTAAGCCAGAGCCCCCCCTGCCCTTCCTCATGCACTTGGGGGTCACAGCCCGGTCTCACTCAGTCGATGATTTCTTGGACAACTTCTCCGGTGAAATGCTCCAGCATTTCCTCTACCGGTAAGACAAACTCATTTCCCCTTCCTCTGTTGCAAGCGTCGCAGAAAGGATTTTGGTTCTCTATCCAGATATATAGATGGAATGCTGTTATTGCTAGTATCTAACAATGCATTTTGAAAAACTGTTGATCTTCTTGGTGGTCTCTGTGCATCACACCCATGGGATTATGCGCCTGCGCTGATCTGTATCGGTGGTATGCAAAGCTCATAAAGCGATTTTCGTGCCTCTCCTCCAGGCATGCATGGGAACCCCACTGCGCATGCCCAAAGAGGAGGGGAACGGACATCCCACCAGTTCTCTTCTTGTTTCTGCCGGTCATTGAAGAAGTGTTTTTTCCTCTCACGAAGGATACTCCAAACTTATTTTTCTTTTCTTTGTTTCCAGTGTTTATTTTATTTGTTCTTATTATCTAAAAGAGAGAGAGTGTGTGTGAGAGAGAATTTTCGTTGAGGGTTGCCGCTGCCTCAGGCGGTTTCCCGTCCCCCCCCCCCTCTTCCTGAGGTAAAAATTTCCTCACCTCAGCAAAGCACCCTTTTTCTGGTCTTTTCGGCCTTTTTACTCTTTTATGGCCAAAAGAGGGGGTTGTTTTAAATTGTGTGTTGGCTGTGGCAGTAAACTTGCCCCTCATGACGGCCACACACTCTGCATTATTTGCCTTGGGGAGACTCATCGCCCAGACGCTTGCCACCATTGTGCAAAGTTCTCAAACCAAACTCACGAGAACACAGCCGCGAGACTTCGAGTAGTGCTTTGGGAATTGGCATTGTCCCCTGTGCCTGTGGGGAATATTTCGGCCGAGACTCCTGCACCCCCCCTATCGACGGCGACCAAGTCTACATTGGGAGGCACCTCGGCACCAAAACCCCCATACCGTGCGAAGTCGGCATCGGATGGGGGGGGTAGTCTTCTAAGCGCTTGGCGTTGAACAAGGCCTCATCCGCCTCTACGCCGGCTAAAAAGAAGAAAAAGGAGAAGTACAAGAAAGCAAAGGCTTCTCTCACTGGCACTATGCATCAGTCCCAGAAAGTGAGCAGCGATAATGTGCAATCGGGCTCTGCATTACCCCCCTTCCAGCGGGCGCAACCCAACATCATTGATACCCCGATACTGGAGCTGCTGACAATTGAGTTACTGGACTCACCAATCCGGCACCTGAACCCCCTGTATCGGAGGCTTCTGTCGATTCCGGAACAATTTCGGCCTCACTAATTCAAGTTGAGGAAACGGTTCCGCGTCGGCCTCGTGCACATCGTTTCCAGTTGGTGATTTCCTATTAAAGTGATTGATCCACACTGGGCTCTCGACATCGTCGATCCCGATTGCCCAGAGGCCACGAATATTGATATTGACCTGAGGAGTGCCCAGATTACCATCGTTCCAGGCCCATGCTCTCGTACTCACCTAGACGGGAATTGAGACCGCACTCTCCAACCTACTTCAACCCACCGATGCCGTGGGATCGTAGGGAACAAAAAAGAACACTTTTTTTCTTTTCTTTTTTGTTTCTTGCATTGTACACTGGCTTCCCCCCTCTTTTTTTTGTGGGATCGTAGGGGGGCAGATGCCTTGCTGGTTCACATCGTACCCAATGTCGGCATCCATGCCATGGCTGATGCCTAGGCCACAGTCGGACTGGGGCTGTGGATCACGTCATTCACACTCTCCCCACTGTAAATTTAAGCCTTCCGCATCACAATCCCAAGCCCCAGAGGAACCTGGTCGCCCTCCCTCTCCTCTCCATTCCACACCGAAAGTCGCCCCAATACCGGATATCCTTGCAGCTCCAGCATCGCCTGTCGTATCATTCATCTCCGATACCGACACTGATGATTCGGAAAGCCCCAAATTGCCTAAAGATCCATCACCAAAGGCTACAGTATTGGACAATCTGCCGATCTCGCCTTCTGAGGATCTCTCTTCATACGGAGATTTGATTAAGAGGATGGCACATTCCCTGGGCATGTTGATCGTCCAACCCCAACCTTTGGTGTCGGATGCTGTCTTCGATGTCATGCAGAACGAAACCTCCACCTCGATCACTCTCTCGATGTCGACCATTCTTCTACAGGCGTCTAAGGCCCCGTGGGACAAGCCTTTCTCTGCTCCAGTGTCGTCCAGGCGTTTGGATCACATGCAGGGGTCATTTTGTAGAAAAAGAGGTGCAGGAGCTCATTAGCATAACTCATTAGCATAACTTATTTG